CAGTGTTGGACTTGTCCTTGCTGGAGCGCTTTGCTTGCTTCTTGAGACTTTTTGTCCCAGGGTTAGAGGACCCCCTCAAAAGGGGGGGGACCCCAACAACAACAACAGCAAAACAAACCAAAAAAACCAAACCACAAAAACCTTGAGAGAACTTGTCTGGGAATCCGCAGGTGGTGGGCTTATGTGATACTGTTTTGCACTCTTTTGAAAGTTGTATGGTGAGACTAGAGGATTCTTCGTCATTCTGTTCTTAATCTTGGTAAGATTTGATTCCTTGAAGCTTTTATTTGCTTGCGCTGGGAATGCCTTTTCTTTCTTGGCGATGCGTTCTGCTAACGTCCAAGAACATTCTTTCATAGTTTTTTTTTCACTTGCCACCTTCTTAAATTATTTACGATTATGGCTTCAGCAGTTTGTGTAAAATTGTGATTTTCCCGAGTCATATCTGCTCAGTGCGATTTTCGAATTCCAAGTTTTAATCTTTTTAGCAAAGTTCAATCTTAAGAACGACCTTATGCTCTTGGGGAATTAGCTCACTTGTGGTGTTCATGGAATGTGTTCCTTTGGAATCTGGTTATTACTAATTAAAGTTTGAACTTTTTGTATTCCAGACTATGTTAAGTTTATTTTGTCCCCAATAACCTTGGTAAGAAGGTGAGAATTTCCTCTCCTTTTAATATATGTAGGGAAGGAACTCTGATGACATAACCTGTAGAGTATTGTGCTGCTAACCCAAAGGTTTTGCTTCTTTGGTGGTTCTAATTCACTGGTGGCTTAGGCAAAGAAAAGATGGATAATTTTTTCCTGTGCAATTTATAGCTTCCAAAAACGTGCTGGAGGGTCAGCTGTTGCTCAGTTTCCACTCAAAAGGCTATGAGAAAATTGAGTTTAATGTATTTAAGCCAATATCCTGATATTTTTCAAAGTACAAAAGATGTAAAATAGAGCTGTTCTGAGTGACATCTGCAGAGTGTAATGGCATTTAGTTTTTAGAAGCTTCTGAATGAAGATGAGGTGGTTTGTAAATTAATAGATTCATGCCTTTCTATGAAGATGGCTCCGAAAGTGAAGAGGGAAGCCCCTGTCCTGAAAACTGAAGCCAAAGCAAAGGCATTTAAGGCCAAGAAGGCAGTCCTGAAGGGCATCCACAGCCCCCCCCCCCAAAAAAAAAAGGATCCAAACGTCACCTTCCAGCGGCGTAAGATGCTGAGACTTCACAGGCAGCCCGAATACCTCCAGAAGAGCGCCCCCAGGAGAAATAAGCTTGGCCACTATGCTTATTGCTGGAGAAGACTCTTGAATATACCATGGGTAGCTAAAAGAAAAACAGGTCTGTCCAGTTGAGGGTGAAACCAGGTTGCTCCTTGGAGGCAAGAATTTGAAGCTCCATCTGACATATTTTGGGCATGTTGCAAAGAGAAGACCAGTCCTTAGATAAGGACATTATGCTTAGAAGGGTGGAAAGACAGAGCAAGAGAGCAAGACCCTGAAGGAGATAGATTGACTCAGTGACTGGGGTTATGACAGTAAGTGTGTCGGAGACAATGAATCAAAATTTTCAATAGTTAAACTACTTCCACTTTCCGTTGCATGTAGGGCTGTATCTCCAGGCTCCAACTGAGGCACATTAATACATTTTTTCCCCCCTCAACTACACTTTCCAGTCATTACCACTGGTTTTGCATATGACGCATTCACTGGTGCCTGTGTGAGTGTGAGTGTAGGTATAGTTAGGGTATAAATCTGCTGGTGCACTATCTGGATAACTTGGCATTCTCAAGGTATTTTAGCAATTTTGTAATCTTGCCTATTTCTTCAGTGAGATTACATTCATCATTGTTCACTTTTTTAAATGACTAGAAACTGCCTTTTAATTTAATAAAAAGACAAAGTAAAAACTAAGGAATATGACCAAAGCTTTTGTAAAATAAATAGTTACAGTCTCATTGAAATTTTGAAAAGATTGAAATGTTGGAGAGGGATTGCTGTTACTGTTTCGTTCTGACTGTATAAAGCAGCTCTGTGTACAAACGAAGAAACATTGACCAGTTCTATGTCATCTTCACAATCATTGTTAGGTTGGAGCCCATTGTTGCAGTCATTGTGTCAGTCCATCTCATTTTGAAGGGTTAATAATGAAGGTTGTTCATAGGATGATCACAAATTATTTAAGTAGCTTCATCTAATAGAAGTTGGTTAAAATTAGTTGCTACAGTATTACTTTTTTTTAGCTCTGATGGCATGGTCCTTAGGTTGTTGTGCCACTTACCTAAAAGTCACACCTCTTTGGGGGTTTGAATCCACTGGCAAGTACTTGTTGGGAAGATGGGAAATCACCTCTCATGTGATTAACAGCCTCATGGGTTCTGTCTAACTCTGGCAGTGAGTAATGAGTATTTTTTTCCCCCCAAAGAAGTGGAATAAATGAAGTTTCCCTTCTTTGTTGAACCACTGACTTGAAAAGAGATTATCATTAGTGATTTTATTAGTATCATAACATTCTCTTGAACCCCGATTAGCAGAGACAATGCAAAGAAATAAAATGATACTTTTGTTATTTTAAGCAAAAGTTCCTCATTCTTTACGATTGTTACTTTTTTAGATTTAAGGTTACGGGTCCAGGAAGATTAATATTTTAAGTCCTGTGAAATTGGACTATAGTGAAGCCCCCACTGCTCTTTATCTCTACAACCTAGCAAAAATAGATACCTAGATGGGGAGAAGCCAACAGAGATAACTAGCCTGCTGTTATCACGTTGGCCTCCAAAGTTGTTTTCCCTCCTCCATCCCTCCCAGATGAAAATGGGTATTATCTAATGTAGCTGTTATTTCATAAATTTAAAATGTTGCCTGCATATTTCAAACACATAAGCAAAAGAAACTGTAAAAACAAACTTCGTAGATTTCGGCAAGAAAGTTTTTTCAGTATTTGCTAAAATCTGAGTAGGCTGCTGTGTTTACCCTTGCTTCATTAGTAAATCAAGTAAATTAGAAATTTGCTTAGCAAAACTTGAGCACTCGTTTTTTTTTTTCATTATTTTAGCTTCCTATTTTGATGACTTTAGAAGTATGTCAGTGTTAGTTTCCTGGTTAGCAGTATGTGTGCTGTGGACTGTGCCACAAGAACACCAAAGCATTTATCACAGTACTGCCTATTGGTCCAGTGGTGAGGATTTTTATTTTCTCTGTATTAAGATACAACTCAAATTGAAGACTATAGTCATTGATCCTTTTCACTAAGTGCTTCAGTTGTCTTTACTTTCAGCAAGCAATCAAGATTGTACTTGCTTGCAGGTAAATAATTACGGCTTTGGTGGAAACCCTGTGATACAGTTCTATCCTGTCCTGTAGCATAGAATTGTTTTTAACATGTGGAGAATACCTACTTCTGCTAAGTCAGTGTCTACTCATGGCTGACCCTCCTTTGTATTTCTTTTTTTTAAAAATTTATTTATTTTTTTATTTTATTATTTTAGTGTGCGTGTACCGTCAAATCAGATCTGACTGGTACAGGAGGAGATTGCCCCTCCTTCCCCGGCAGAGCATCTGGTGGATTCGAACCGTGCACCTCTGGGATTGTAGTTGCAGCTTCTTGCCACTAGGCCACCAGAGCTCCCCACCTCTTTTGCATTTCTGAGACTGTAAATCTTTATGGGAGAAGACTGCTTATCTTTCTCCTTCAGATTGCTTGGCAGATTAGCATCACTGCCCTTTCAGTTAGCAGCCAGCCCAATTTGTAAAGCAGGGCTTCCTGTAAAAAGAATCATTTAAACTTGTTGTGTTCTAATTGGAACTGACTCATAACTGACCTTCCGTTGGGTTTCTGATGCCATAAATCAGACAGAAGGAGAGTCCCAAGCTAGTGGATTGGAACTCCTACCAGAGAGATGTGGCCTTTGGATTGTTGTTAATATACCATTGCTTTGGAACTGATCCATAGCTGGCCTTCCAGTGGATTTTCAGAGCCAGTAAATCAGTCACATGGGAGGATATTGCCCATCTTTCTCCTATGGAGAAAGAAGGGCTCATGAACTCATTCTACATGGAAAAAGGTAGTCTCCAAGAGGTTCTTAGTTTTTAGGTTCTAAAGTTTTGGAAAGGGACATCAAGCTTGGAAAGATGAATGGTCAGAAAGAGAGGAAAACTCAGCAATGTAGACTGACCCAGTGACTGAAATAGTGGGCTCGCTAGTATATATCACAATGGTAAGAGGCACATGATAGTGCAAGGTTCAGATCTAGAGTCGTTCTCTGTTTTAGTCAATTTGATGGTAACTAACAGCAATAAAACTCTGGGGTAGAATTTTTGTTACTGTTTTTGTTGTTGTTATGTGCTGTCTAGTCGCTTGTGACTCATAGCGACCTTCTGTACAACAGCCCTAAACTCTGCTTTGTTCTGTGCCAATCGCACTGTCTCTGACACTCCCATCCCGATTACCCAAGTCACTGAATCAGTCCACCTCATAGAGGGCCTTCCCCTCCTGCGCTGTCCCTCCACCCTCCCAAGCATGATGTCCTTCTCCAAGGACTAGTCTCCTTACAACATGTCCAAAGTATGTTAGATGGAGCCTCAGAATCCTTGCCTCCAAGGAGCCACCCAGTTTACAGAGGCTATAATCAGTGACTTGCATTTCCTCTTTCTCTACAGCCTTTTTCTCAAGTGTAGGGTGAATGTAGCGATAGCTGCCGGGAAACATGACTGTATTGCAAGTGAAAAAATTTATCTTGCAATACAGTATTTTCTTCAGGTTGTAATAAACATATCCCTGACATAAAATACACAATAAATTTGTGTTTTTATTTTTTTATTTTTCTTTGTGATTTTTAGATTTGTCCTTGTTTAAAACCTACTTATGACATGTAATAACTTGTAAAAATTTCCGTTAAAATCTTACCTAATTTCTGAATATATATAACCCCCCCCCCCACACCCACACATACACACACACAAACACACCCCCTCATATACTGCCATTGAACTTGTGTTATTTGTTTCAGGTACACAATGACATCTTTTCAAGAAGTCCCGTTACAGGCATCGAACTTTGCACATGTCATCTTTCAAAATGTGGCCAAGAGTTATCTTCCTAATGCACACTTGGAATGTCATTACACTTTAACTCAATTTATCCATCCACATCCAAAAGATTGGGTTGGTATTTTCAAGGTAAGAAATGTTTTGATTATTTCTTCTCTGAAGGTGCTCTTCAATTTCTTTTTTTAAAAAAATTGAGAAATAGCCTTTGCTTTAATTGTGCATTGAGTCATTTTTGTGAACATCACAATGAAATATTTTAAAAAACAATGTAAGATAAATGTTGAGAATTTTACTTTGATTGCCTTTCCTTTCTATTATCAAACAATTTTCATTCAGAGTCTTGTAAAATGACTTTTTAAAAAATTTTCCATTTTCTCTATGATGTAGAAAGAAATTATTACAGCTTTAGGAATTGTTTATATCGAGCCTATCTAGAAGTGAAAGTGTCTGGACTGATAGAGAATCAGGGCTGAAATACTGTATTTGGAAAGACCAAGCTTTTTGTACAGTTAAGAGTTTAAAACCAAAAAAAGTTAATCTGAATACTTAGACCGATTCATTAGTTCCTGCATATGTAATTCAGTGACGTTGGTTGTGTTCTTGAGTTAAGTTGCCATTCTCATCCTTTTTTAAAAAAATTCCTCGCCTGTGAGCATGTATTCATAGATTTTTATCTGATGTTTCAAGTTGCGTTGAGTTTTGTTCCTCATTTGATCTTGAAAGCGCATAATGCTCACAGCAGACATTTTTTTATTAAGCTAATGATTTAAGATGATTTTAGCTTAAGTGTGCTTGAACATTTAAAGATTATATGAAGACTTCCATCTCTAGACTTCATGATGTTGGAAGATCTGCATTCCGTGAACATTTCAAATTCCAGTGTGTATTTTCCCCCTTTGATCAGAATTCTTTTATGGAATCTTTGATCAGCTTACACAGTAATGATAGTTCGTCACATCCAGTTCTGGTCTCGGCAGATGAATCAAGAGACCGTTTCCAACATACTCTTCTGCCTGTTGCTGACTTCCATTCTCAGTTTCTCAGTTAAAGTCCCGTCGCTGTGCCTTCATGACGTCTTACAAGCTTTAAGACCCTAAATAGCATGCAGTGAACTAGAAGATAGAACAGAGACATACAAATCACGTTAACTATATTTGACTCTAGAGACTCTTTGTGAAACAGACCATCAATTGCTCATATCTCAGGTCAGTTTGAAGCTGAAAAAAATGAAAACCAGTCCCTAATAGCCAAAATATAATCTTGTATTTATCTCACCCAGTTGTTTTTTTTTTAAAATCATCTCAAGGATATATTTTGACATTGAATGTTAATTTTTGAAGACCAGATGAGTTGTGAAATGACCTCAAGAACATTGTGTGTGTGTGTGTGTGTGTGTGTGTGTGTGTGTGAATAAAAGAATATACATCAGCTAAGCAGAAAGACAGGAAAGAAACAAAAGACGAAAATGAATGCCAGAAGAGCCTCTGAAACTTGATTTTGAACATAGAGAAAACAATCAGAGGAATAAATGATGAAATAAGGGAGCTGAATAGAATACTTCAAAGGACAGCTTGAGAAGAGAAAACAGTGTTGTAATAGAATGTGCAAACATCTGGAGTTAGAAAACCAAAAGGGAGCATACACTATCCATTTTTCAAACTAAAGAAATGAAAAACAAATTCAAGTCTTGGATTGCAGTACTGAAGGATTTTACAAACAAAATATTGAATGACAAAGGACATAGCAAAAGAAGATGAAAAGGAGTACACAAAATCATGTACTAAAAAGAATTGGTTGATACTACCATTTTGTGTGTGTCTTAGGTGCCATCAGTTGACTACAACTCATACCAACCCTGTGTATAAGTCTGAACCTTCTTCTATCCTGTGCCGTCCTCATGATCTGTGATCTGCCCAACCCCATTGTAACAGTCATTGTGTCAGTCTGTTTTGTTGTGGGTCTTCCTCTCTTTTTATGACAGTCTGTCCACCTTTCCCAGAATGATGTCTTTTTCAGAAAACTGGCCTCTCCTGACAGCATGCCAAAAGTATGTGAGGCAGAATTTCACTGCTTTTCTTTAAAGGTTACCCTGATTACAGTTCCTCTAGGACAGACTTGATTGTTTTGCAGTCAATAGGATATTCAGTACTCTTGTCACAAGTTAAAGGCAGCCACTCTTCTTTTCTTATCCTTATTCATTGTCTAACTTTCAGATCCATAGGACGTAATTGAAAAGATCATGGCATGCATATGATGCACCTTAATCTTTAAACTTAAGACTTGGCTCTTTAGCTCTTTAGAGAGACATCCTTGACACCAGAGGTTCTCACTGCAGCATATCCTTGATTTCTTGATTGCCGTTACCATGTTGATTATGGACCCAAGTAAGATGAAATTATTGACAGTTTCAGTCTTCTCTCCATTTGTTATGATGTTGCTTATTGGCCCAGTGGTAAGAATTTTTTTTTTCTTGATGTTGAGTTGTAAATCATACTGAAGGCTGTAGTAGTTGATCTTCTTCAGCAAGTATTTAAAATCCTCTTTACTTGGAGCAAACATTTACATGAGGCAGGGTGTTTATGAGGCTTTCTCCAATCTTGATGTACATTTTTCTACATAAAGTCCAACTTCTTGTGTTTAGCACACAGAGTTAATAGTATAGATAAAGAGTACAACCAGGTAGCACATCATCCCTGATTTTAAACTATGTAGTGTTCCATTGCATTGTTGGAAAGATAGGCTATTGTTCTAGATACAAGTTTCATAGGAGCACAGTTAAGTGTTCTGGGATTTCTGTTCTTAGTGTTCTCCATGATTTGCTATTAATGAACAATAAGACCAATATCAATCACATGCAAGCAAAATTTTTCTGAAGATTATACAAAAATGACTGGAAAAGTGCATCAGTAGAGAACTACAAGAAGTTCAAGTTGGGTTTAAAAGAGGCTTTGGCACTAGGGACATCATTGCCAATATCAGATGGATCTTGGCAGAAAGCAGTACCAGAAGAATGTCTGTGTTTCATTGACTACACGAAGCATTTGACTGTGTGGATCAAGTTGTGGCTAAACGTGAGAAGAATGGGAATTGCAAAACACCTGATTGTGTCTATGCAAAACCTATATCTGGGCCAGGAGACATTCATCAGAACAGAGCAAGGAAGCACTACAAAATCAGGAAAGTAGTGGGTCAGGGATGTGTCTTATCTCTATCCCTTTTCAATCTACATGTGAAACAGATCATTTGGCAGGGTCCTCTTTATGAGGAGGAATGTGGTATCAGAATTGGAGGAAGACTCATCAACAACTTGTGTTATGCAGATAACACAATCTTGCTTGCTGAAATTGAGGAGGACCTGAAACATCTGCTGCAGAAAGTCAAAGATTGGAGTCTTCAGTATGAATTAAAACTCAACATCAAGAAAACTCAGATTCTCATTACTAGGTCAATTGACAGCACTTTAATAGAAGAAATTGAGATTATTAACAACTTCAGCTTGCTTAGATCCACAGTTAACGATACTCTTTGGAACCAGGAAACTCTTAAAACCAGCAAGCAGGAAATGAGAAGATGAATTGGATTAGAGAAGTCTGCTATCAGGGACCCCTGTAGAGTGCTGAAGAGCACTGTAGTATAGACTAAGGTGCACTTGATTTAGGCCATGGTCTTCACAGTTCTTGCTATGCTTGAGATAGCTGGACAGCGAATAAGGATGACAGTAGAAAAATTAAAGCCTTTGAGTTACGGTGCTAGAGTATAGTATTGAAAGTACCATGGACTGTCAAGAGAACAAACAGATCTGTCCCAGACAGGGTGAAACCAACTTGCTCTCTGGAGACAAGGATTTTCAAACTCCATCTGACATACTTTGGACATGTTGCCAGGAGAGACCAGTCCTTGGAAAAGGACATCATGCTTGGAAGGGTTGAGGTACAAGGCAGGAGAGGAAGATCCTGAATGAGATAGATTGACACAGTGACTCGGGTAATAGAGGCAGGTGTGTCAGTGGCTGTGAGATTGGCTGAGACTAGGACAAGTTTCAGAGCTGATGTACATAAGGTCACTCACTGTGAGTTATATGCGACTCGATGGCACATAACAACAGAGTCTGTGATTCTGACCTAAGCCATGAGTCTGAAGGTCAAAAGTCCTACCAACCATGCTTGAGAAACTGGACTGATGGGTTATATTTTGCTGCCAGCCTGAATGATAGCCTGTTAACTACCCTAATAAACCTCATAACTCTGAATATGGTTCAGTAAAGTCTGTGTAGTCACTGCAGTGAAGTTAGGATCCTGTAAGACCGTAAGATTGGTGTTGGAATTAGTAGAAGTAGATGCAAGAGTGTGGGGAACATTATAGGAATTTTGTACCGTGGATATTGTTGATGGGGAGAGTTCTCCTTTACGCAGTTAGTAGAAGTCAGCTCCGGCCAGCCTCATGCTGTCTTTGTTCTTCCTACACCAAGGAACTAATCTGAGAAACAGGACTATATGAAAAAGATTGTGGCATCAGAATTGGAGGGAGATTCATCAAATCTGCATTATGCCGATCATATAACTTGATCCTAAAAGTGAAAAAGACTTGAAGCACTTACTGCAGAAGCCCAAAGAGTACAGCGCTCAGTGCTTTTTGCACCTAAGCATAAGACACAACTTCTTAACGACAAGACCAGCAGGCCAAATGATGGTAAATGGAGAAAAGATTGAAGTTTTCACTGTTTTAATTTTGCTTGGATCTACAGTCAACATCTATGAATGTAGGAATCAAGAAATCAAAAGACATTGATACTGGATTGGGCATATATGTCAAGGACCTCTTTAAAGTGTTACTTTAAATTTGTCAAGAGAGGTGTTTCTCATTCAAGTCATGGTATTTTTACTTGTTCATATGCTTATGAAAGTTGCCTAGGGAATAAGGACTACAGGAGAAGAATTGATACCTTTGAATTGTTAGATAAAAAATACTGAATATATCATGCATTGCCAAAGGAACAAACAGATCTCTCTTGTAGGAAGTGCAGCCAGTGTTAGAGGCAAACATGGTGAGACTTTGTCTCACATACTTTGGGCAATTTAGCAAAATGGTCATCGTTCCATTTCTTGGAAGGTGATATCACTTACAGAAGG